TAGTCGCAGCTGGAGAGAAGCAAACGTAACTGCACAATTTTGGTACGCATGCCTCTGACATTCTGATAGTACACCGAGATGAGGCGTTGAGATGAACTTGTTTTAGTTTCTGATCCAGAAACAACGGAGCATTGTAGGGACGTCGTAATGTTGACTGGACTCGTTGTGATAACTTCAGTGATGCATTGAAGAGCGGCTGAGTGGAACTGCGCTGACGGCCCTGGGCAGCTGGAAGCGATAGACGTTACCCGACAAGGAATGTTCTTACTGTGCGCGTACTTGCCTGCTGCGACGGAGTGGAAGACCCCTTCTCCAGCTTCGTACACAGGACCGGGATGACTGCAGGTCGCTGGCGGTGTAGGCTCGACTGTGACGAGAGGATTAGGGGCTTCCGTGAGGCTTTCAGGCATGCATCCCGGTGGCTTGAGTGTTGATAATGAGAGTGCACAGTGGTCTCCTGACATTGAGCGGCTGGAAGCGATGTGCATTACCGGGAGTGAGGTATTCAAATTGATTGTGTACTTGCCTGCGATAACGGGTTGGAAGACCCCTTCACCTGATTCGTACACAGGACCGGGATGACTGCTGGTCGCTGGCAGGAATGGCTCGACTGTGACGATAGGATTTGGGGCTTCCGTGAGGCTTGCAGGCGTGCATCCCGGTGGCTTGAGTGCTGATGATGAGAAGGTAGGAAACGATGATCGACTGAATTCGCCGAGATCCTCCGAGAAGCATCGGTGAGGTTTCGAACTTTGATCTCCTGGCGTTGAACGGCTGGAAGCGATGGGCATTACCGGAAGTGAAATGTTCAAATCGATTTTGTACTTGCCTGAAATAGCTGGTTGGAAGACCCCTTCACCGATATCGTGCACAGGACCGGGATGGCTGTAGGACGCTGGCAGGAATGGCTCGACTGTGACGATAGGATTAGGGGCTTCCATGAGGCTTTCAGGCGTGCATCCCAGTGATGAGGTGAGTTTTGGTGGAGTCGGTTGCTGCAGGTTGGGAGTCTTCAAGTAATGATTGCAATGATTAGTCTTCTGATGGCTTCCGAAAGTTTTTCGAACCATAATCTTCGAATTCTCTGAACATGATTCCTTCTGGCCATGTTGAGGGATCCAATGCCGTTGTCTTCAAATCCTGGTCGAGGCCGATTTTGAAAGAGATGAATGACAAGCCAGCGGTGTCCTTGCCCTTTGGTACCAGTTTCACCACTTCAGGATCAACGGTGGTTTCCAAGCATTCTTTCACTATCGCCGAAATCAATTCGTTCGTTGCGTCGGGACGGATGCGCGACAGGTAAAGCCAGAATTTGTCATTGCCGACAGTAGAGTTTTGAACTGTGACAATATTCTGACTTGATTCTTTCGATCCGTATTGAGCTGCTGTGTTTGCCATGTAACGTGCCTTTGGAGCTTGAGGGGGCCGGGGTTCAGGCCTTGGTAATGCAGGAGGAGCAGGAAGAGTGGCGGGTTTGGTTGAAAGCTGTTTAATTTCGGTACGTAGTTCGTTGATTGCTTCCGATAACGATGCAAGCGGAGACGGCTCATGTGAACAACACGAAATTGAACGAAAATGGCTATTTTCGAACATTTCGGCACACTTCACGCACATCCAAAATAAATTCTTCTTGTGCGACGTAAAGTAGCTTAGAAGCGCTCGTGACACACCAGCGCACGTCATGTGAAAAATTCCACCGCAGTAACCACGACAAGCCACTTGATCGATACCAACGATAGCTTGGCAACATTCTGAGCAAGCCTTCTCCATCATGTGTACCGCGTTGATGTAAACCAAAATCGCCTACCAGTATGCTTGGAAAATGATGATGTGCCCACAAAGCAATGTTGGTTCGCGCTATTCGCCAGCAGATGTCGCTTCAGGAGAGAAAATCGGCGTGGGGAGGTAATAGGCCTTTGTTGTTTAATCGCACTGACGAAAACAAAACACTCGCGGAATGGGATAAAATATCACCGTAGCACAAATAAACAAGCACGTACACACACGAATTTCGTTAACCGAGCTTAACTGGACGACGTAACAACGGAAATAATATTTACGGAGTTGAAAAACACGGAAAATAACAGAAAAAATCACGACCGATAATTGTCAATATTACGCACACAGAGCAGTGTTGCCTGTCAATTATGATATAATGGTATAATGGTAATGGTATGGTATAATGATCATCTTCTCCAATTAGGAGGTCAACCCTATAACATGATCATTATGTACTTTACAGCGTATTCGTAGAATCATGCATAATTTATGTAGACTATGTAGTCCCTCCTACATGGATAATTTTGCTATGGAACCTTGCTATGGCTCGCTATGCTCCGCCCCCGATCTGCACAAAATCCGGGAAATTTAAATGGATCTGGGGCATAGCAAGCCGTTTCATAGCATAATTCTCAAAGTAGGAGGGACTTACAATGCCACAGCAAAATTTACGTTTATTTTCTGGTTTTTCATGTTTCAACATTTAGTTTAACATTTCAATTGATTAGCCTTTGGCTCTTCATCTTTGTTCTAGTTAATTGGTTATTCTAATGTGATGATTGCGTTTAGCGCTAATATACAGGATACCCTTTTATGGGATTGTTTTCGTTTCAATTTAAAAAATTTGATAACCTACCTACTTGAGCACAGAAACCTACCTAACGTCTTTAACTAGGTTGCAAAATCACGAATGATCTGGTGGTTTGATCGCAGACAGGCGACTCTGAACCTTTACAGCGTGGACGTCTTTCGCTCCTCGAGTGTTTGAAGGCTGGCCAGGTGGTAAATCTCAGAATTACGAGTTCGTGTTGGACTGTTAAGGATCATTCTGAGGATCTTCTTTTGGATCATCTGAAGCTTTAGTTGGTGGCACTTAGCACCAAGGTTGCAAATACTCATTTCAGCTAAAATAATGTTTTTCGGAATAATAAAACCAAAAGATGGTATGATGACATGTTTTACTTGTAACTTACAAGAAGAGGTTACACAGTATGCGTTTGAAACATAAAACCAGTAAATTTTGCTTTCTATGAGTCACAATCCGCGATTTGCTGATCGCTGAGTGAGTGAGTGTGTGAAAAATCTCTGGATGTGACTCTCATGAAGTGAAATAAACAGGTTTAATATGTCTAACCAAGGAATCAAAAATATCTCCAAATGACAAAATAACAAGCGATCAACGAACCGAATAATAACGCTATGTCAGAAGTGGAAAACAATAATGATATAATCTTCACCGTTCTTTTTCATGACAAGCAGCTCGTGCGACCCAACTCATTCGGGGCGGTAGAAGGAAACGAGCAAATTGTTGGCAAGCTGCTTCACGAAGTAAAGCCGAAGATGATACACGTGTGTTAATGGGAATTTTTTTGTTATGTCTTTTCCCGATTCATATGTCCTCATCCGTGTATATTGCAACAAAGCAGGCAAGCAATATATCATTATCCTTCTACCACTCGGATCGAGCTTTGTTACAGAGCGAGTTTGTCATGGTAGTCGTAGCAACCGTTTTGTCTGTATCGTTGGTTGCTTTATGTGTTTGGATTCGCTGTGTCTAACAGATTATTTGCAACCTCTTCTTGTATCTTACCAAAAATCAATATCGATATATTAATATCAAAATATGATCGAAGCATCTAATTATTTCATAATTAAAAAAAAACATTGTTTTAGCTGAAATGAGTATTTAAAACCTTGTTTAGCACAACTCTCCCAGATTGGGATACCATACTCAATAGCCGGCAGAATGATCTGCTTGTGGACAGCAAGCTTGTTTTTGAGGGACAGGGTGGACTTCCTGTTTATCAGAGGGTAGAGCGACCTGATCAAGATGTTAAACTTGGTGGATGTCTTTTCCACATGGGTTCGGAATAGCAATTTGCTATCAAGGGTGAGACCAAGGTAGACTACTTCTCGCGACCATTCAATGAGAGTGCTATCAAGGTGGGCCTTGACGTTAACAGGTGGAACAAGCCGAGGTGAATTCGAGTGTGGAAACAGAATGGTTTGTGTTTTAGCTGCATTGATACAAATCTTCCAGCTCTTGAAATAGTCGGACAGAACATCCAGGCCTGATTGTAGTTTACTTGCCAGAGCACGGATCACTCGACCCTTATAGATGATGGAGATGTCATCTGCGAACATAGACAGGATACCACCACCCGGCAGGGGAGGTACGTCTGACGTGAAAATGTTGAAAAGGATAGGCCCAAGCAGGCAACCCTAAAGGACTCCTGCATCTACGTTGAACGTATCAGAGGGGACATTGTTCAAGTAGACCTGGAATGATCGGCCCGACAAGTAGTTTTTGATGATCTTCACGAGATAGTTCGGAAAGTTGTATCGATGCAGCTTGTACACTAGACCATCATGCCAGACATTGTCGAACGCCTTCTCGACGTCCAACAATGCCATGGCAGATGTATTGGAAACGGACTTGTTCCGCTTGATGATGTTAGTAACCCGTGCGAGTTGGTGGATGGTAGAGTGGCCTTTCCTAAACCCGAATTGCTCTTTGAGAAAGATGTTATTTTCATTTGAAAACACCAGTAGACGGCTGAGTATCAACTTTTCGAATAAGTTCGAGATGGAGGACAAGAGACTGATGGGGCGATAGCTTTTGGCACTGGTAGGATCTTTGTCAGGCTTGTGTATTGGAATCACTTTGGCTAACTTCCAACATGCAGGGAAGTAGCCAAGCTCCAAACATTTGTTGAAGATAAGGGTAAGATGGTTGAAGAAGTCAATACTAATAATGATTTATTTCAGCGCATTGCTGAATTTGCGATCGATTGCTGTATTTTTATTTCAATTTCATCTACAAATAACAAAGTTAGGAGCGTTCAAAACCTAACACCTTTTGTGACCGTCGCAATTTTAGATTTAAGATCTACCCCCTGTACCTTCCCGTAAGATGTAGTCTACGTCAAAAATATGAATTCAAGCTGGCAAATAATCGCCACTGTTAAACCGCAAATTTCTAATAAACTTCTCCATTGCAGTGAAACCCGTCGTGGCCAGGTTTGACTTTTCCGATGTTGATTCAAAGGACACTGCCGCCAGCAAAGTGGACGAGCTGCTTCAAATCAAGGAACGAGGTGGCATCGCTGGCGGAACCCTAGACTCCCCAGACAGTGAGCTGTGTCCGGAGATTGTCGATAACACCATGCCGGCGTCATTGGTGATGCAGTTTCTACTGTTGCTCTATCGGAATCTGCTAATGCTGAGGCGGAATTATGTAAGTTGTGTTAATTCTTTCCCCACTCACTCCTCCATGGTGTGCACTGTTAAATCACGCAAGTTTGTTAAACGCACGTCAACAGGAAGTCGGCGCGAAAAATAAAATGGGGATACGATTTAAATGCGGAGGTTCCCTGTAGCGCTTCGTTTCGCGTATGTTAAATTGCTCCGATAGCGATCTCCATTTTCCGTGCTAAGTTGTCATAATGATCATGCGACGAGTCACTACAAAAGGAAAAAAAAACAAACAATGAAAAACGCCACAATCTTAAAGTGCAGTCTTTTGTTAAATGCGGTAATTGAAGCGTTAAATAACTCCGGTCTTATAATTCCATAGTGAGCCGTTTGACACCCCGGCATTGTGAAAGAGAAGCGTAATCACTGTGATTTACCCGATTGATCCCGTTCGCTGATTTCATTGCCGGCTGCCTTGCAAATCGGTCAGATGATTTACAACCTGTAGCATGTGCTGATGATAAATCGGTTTGAACACAGTTCCTAAACCGGTTTCCACTTGCACACAATCTCATTATTCATTTATCAATTTGAAAGGTTGTCTGATTGATTTAGTTCCCCGCCGCGTATCGCCTCTCGCCCTCATTAGAACTGTTCGTGGGCATCATAGCTCGGAATTTCTGTCCAATGAGGTATTTCGCACTGCTTCTGACAGTAGTCACCACGAGAGGGCGAGTCGCATTCAAATGGCCTGGTGGAAAATCAACTTGAGAATGATGGGTATATTCACCATCCATTAAAACAAATTGTTTTACGATTGTACTGTAATGAAATGTAAAATTGATATGTATATTCGATTGATATAACTTAGCTAGAAGAATTGTTGAATAACCGAGAATCTCCACCACTGTGGGGCGACATCTGTTGGATTTGTTGGTGAAAAGTAGAATCTAATGGCCGTGCGCGTGCTTGAAATGTGAGTTGGAATCCCAGGCGCTAATGGAAATTACTGCCATTAGCACGGAAATGGGATTCTCGGTCGTTGCACAGTGGGCGTTATAGAATACGTTCCGATACACACTGGGGTAAAATTGCATCCATTTGTTGAAATGTTATAACCCATTTGTGCGCTGCGCAAGCTAATGCAAATTTTGTGGGAATAAATATGACGCCGTGAAGGCATATATGTCGTAACACGCGTCGTCGAAGCATGCGAGCTTGTAGTCACATAGAGAGCTATTGATCCCTCCGACGTGCTGACAATACTGAAAAGCATAGAGGTAACTCTAAGACCAGAAGGTCCCGAAGAAACCTGCTCAACTTTTTGTCTCAGCTCTGGTACTATCTTCGGTCCCAAGCTAATTATTGAAGTTGTTCACAACAGTACGTGCTGTTTGACTGTATATTCAGGAACATCCTCTAAGTGAATATACCAGAGGAACTCAGACCAGCAGTTCACTTATAGATCTGAAAACGAAATGTAGGCTCTTGAGTGGGCTCAAGGGAAAGAGACATTTAGTCAGACCTCATTAGTACCTTTAATTCAAATAATGCTGCAACTCATACAAAACAATATAGTCGATTTCCAAAAATGTTCCCCACCGGTTCCAACTCTTTACGACCCCTGATAGACCGTTGTTTTCGCATCACGAAATGCTAGGTTTCTGGTCTGCCTTTGAGGGCATTATAGAACCCTAAAACACAGGACTTTTACTATCCTTTGAATACAAAACATCAAAATTTCGCACACCCACCACTTCCCTCGTCATTCTTAATACGATTTATCCTTGCGATTTCAAACCAAAACATTCAAGGTGTCAGAAATACCGGGTTGCCGGGATGGGTATTTTACAAACAATCGCAGCTTGCTCTATGATCGGCACAATCGGTACATCTGCGGCACACTGACAAAAAAGATGACCCAAGATTGGTGTGCGGAGTGACCTACCCCTTGTGTCAAATACATCCTCTTATCTTTTGATTTCATTATTCCTAAAATATATGGTTTTATGCAAAATAAGTATTTGCAACCATGCTGATTCAACTTTTTACTACACTTACAGGGTGATTCGGAATAACTGTCCCTTTTTAAAATGGTCATAACGATTGAACGCTTGCATGAATTTTTGATATCATTATATTCCAGATATTCTACATATATAATCTTCAACTAAGCAGAGTTTATTCCAAATCTCTCTCCCTTTACCTTAATTATCAGCCACATTTGTCATGAAAATTAACCACAGCTGGCACGCACGCTTTAGTTCCAGCAGTTTTTGAGTCCTGTTGATGCGTTTAAGCTCTGATATTGAACGGATTTTCCAAGCATGGTTCCTTTGTACCTCTATAATGATGCAAAAATAAATGTTACATTCTTTCGAAGAAATTTCAGTTTCTAAAAGATAACACACGATTTTTTTAAAGATTTATGCCATTCTCCATTTTGACGTCAATGGCTGCTTGAAATCACAAACGAATGAAATTTCAAATCCTACTATCAATACAAGCTGATATTTGTACACACTTAAAACAAAAATACTTGAACATATACCCATTTTACCCATTGAGAATTGCATATTTGTGAAATCGGTGACAGTTATTTTGAATCACCCTGTAGAATAATTTCCGAAAATTGATTCACTTAACTGTGATAGTTCCTAGGAATAGTCAACTGCGGTATAGTTTTTGATTCAGTTGCTAATTGACCATTTTGTCAAGCAGTTTTGGCGTGACTTTCTACCAGCGATTTCACAAAATTGGACCAAAAAATTTCTATTTTTATATGAAGCGTACAAATGTTGGCTACTTTTCTCGAGGTTCTAGAAGAAAAAAATCTCAAAAAAACGTTTTATTTCAAAGTTCGAGTGGTAGTAAACGTCAGTTTAACTGCTCGAATGAAGTGGTTAATTGGTTGATTTTCAAAATTGCTTTCTTGTTTAAATGTGGACAAAATTACTGCCAGAACTGATTGTATTGCATTAAAAGTGTTTTTTGTTACTTCATACGTGAAGTTTACGATATTCAGAGTTGGGAGGAAATGCTATACTTATATCAATTCGAAGCTTTAGTGCGATCATTTATCAGTTAGAGTTAATATGGGTCGCGATCCAACTGGCGGGTCACGACCGAACGTAGGAATTTTATGTTTTTCATGTTTTTCATGTCAATCTGTTTTTACGTTTCAGTTAATCATATGTATAATATAGCATCAAAATGTATAGAAAAACTACATCTGTATTCAATATTGATGGATTGGGAGCTTATTAAAGTTCAAAATAAGAAAAAGAAGAAAAAAAAGGAAGATTGTGAAACGCTGTGATAGATTGATAGTTCCGCTAGAGTACAGCAGTGTGACAATTGAACAGAAGTTGAAATTGAACGAAGGGCCATTAATGCGACAATACTAATCAAAAGCGCACTCCTTTACCTAGCTCATACATTGATGGAAGCAGGGTGCCTTCCATTCATTTTGACTAAAAAAATGTTTTAGGAAATTATGGAATAATACGATATTATGATGGTATTTTGTATGTGTAAGGAACAAGACAAATTTTTAAAGTTTGTGTTTGACACATAAAACCTGTAAATTTAGCTTTGACAGAGCCACAATGAGCGATTTTCTGATCGCCTCTTCGCGAAGAGTGAAGAGTGAAGAGTGGGTGAGATAAATGACAAAATCGCTTATTGCGACTCTCATGCAGCATGCAGCATGCCTAATTTAAGATCACCAGTTTTTACACATTGAGGATGATTGCTAGTCCCAAGCATTATCTATTGGTTCTCTGTGTAATTACAGCTGATCTGGCAATAACAGAGTAGCAACCGTGGGCGGTCAATCAAGCTCAAGCTCAAGCTCAAGCAAGCAAGCTATTGCGACTCTCATGCAGCAACATTGGCTGGTATTATGTGTCAAACACAAACTCCACAATCTTTTCTTGTTGCTTACACAAACAAAATATTATTATAATATCTTATTATTCCATAATTTTATAAAACATTTTTTTAGCCAAAATGAATGGAAGGAACCCTGGATGGAAGAGGGAATTTCAAGCTGAACACATTTACATATTCTCTTCGTGGACTTTCTCTTTGCATCCTCATGGCCAGTTAAGTCCCAAAAGAGAAAGTCGATGAAGAGAATCGATAAATTTTACATCGGACCTAATGCATTGTTTAGCTTGATTTGAGGTATGCTCTCAAATCCAGAGGTAGAATAGTGCGTTTGACTTGCTCATGCTATCTGCGGCTGTGGAAAAGTTCTAGCGATGTTTCATCACTAACTAAAGCCCCCAAGTTGTCGAAAGCATATCCAGGCAATGGCGTGTTATAATGCAACTCTTCTTTACCCAACTATTGTTTTGCTGCTCTCGTCATGACCAACGTAGTCATCTCAGAGAAAAAGCAGTAGGGTCATAGAGGTAACTCTAAGACTAGTAGGTCCCGAAGAAAAATGCTTAACTTTTTGGCTCAGCTCTGGTACTATCTAATCGGTGCACCACTCAAAACATAGGAAAATCCACGAACCCCTCATTTTATCTGTCAAACTTTCAAAGCGAATCAAAACAAACATAGTGTAGTACTAGAACTTTGACTAGAATAGGGTACGTTAATCGATTTGCTTGGTACCAATAGGCTAGTCAAGTAGTGAGCCAATTTAAAATCGCTAGTTTCCACCGGTTGCTTGAAGTGCATCTACTTTGATGTAATATTAAATTTTTTTTTTACTGAGTGGAAAGATTGATCGAAAAGGCAAAGGAAGGGCGTTCCCAGCAAACTTTTTTAGTTCACTATGGCTAAGGTCCCATCCTTGGGCTCCCAGCTAGCTGTCTCAAACTTACCTGGAACTGCTATTTTTTCTAGCAACAATAAGCACTATTTACAAGCGAAAGTAATCGTTTGAATCTATTTTACAAAGGATAATTGTACCAGTTTTTGGCCATTGTACCATGTTCTAACCTTGTATCGAAACAAATTTAAAAGAGTGTTGAAATGTAAAATTTGAGATAAGGCCAATTCGACGAACACTAGGGCCTAAAACTGGTA